AAAATAAATAAAATAAAATAAAATAACCAAGGCCCCAAACAAAAATCAAATGTCTCATATTCTAACAAGTCTCAGCATCACTTCAAACTCATTTTTCAAGCTGATCTCATTTCCTTTCAGAATTAGCTGTTTCCCAACTCTGCTTGCCATTGTCACCATGCCCTTCTAATTGTCCAGATTAAAACTTCAGTGACCTCATGGAGGCTTGCCTTGTGGGTCTTCATTCTCAATCCTCCATCAGTCACCAAACACTATTATTCTTCCTTCAACGCACCTTCCAGATTTACCCCTGTCCTTCTTTCCCACACCTAGTCTGGCTCTTGTCACCTTGAGCAGGTGCAGTGTCGTGTCTGGTGTTCTTGCTGCCAGACAGTCCCTCTCCCAGGCCACCTTGCGAACAGCTGCCAAGCCCGGCTTTCTGGAGGGCTGTTCCCAGCACAGTCTTTGATTAAGACTCTCCAGAGGCCGCTTACTGCTTGCAGAACCAAGTCCCAGCTTGTCCGCCAGCCTTTCAAAAGCCTTCATTACCCACTGCCTTTGTGCCATTCGATGTTATTTCCCACGTTTCTCCCCAAACAATCCTACTTCATGACGGATCTCCCCACTGACCGCGACATGCAACATGCGCATCCTGCTTCCTGCTGGGTTCAAGCTGTTCCGGCCCGAAATAGCCTCCTTTGTGCCTTTCCCCAGCCAGTCCTGCCCACCAACACAACACCGCGCTTGCAGTTTAATATAGAAACACCACATGCCCCTTGTAGGGAATTCAGAAAACACAGGGGATATTAACAAATTAATTTTCTCACTCAGAAATAACTGCTCTTAGCCCCATTGGTATGTCTCTTTCCAGACTTTTTTTCTATGTATTTACGTATAAATAAATAAATTTTTCATCTAGTTGAGAGCAATCTGTTTATATTGCATCTTGTTTTTAGTACTCATTGTAAGTGACCTTTCTAAACACCCTCTTCAATACTTCCTAATTTGCATCCTAGTGATATACCATTATTTATTTGGCTATTCCCTGACTGTTAAAACTTGTAGTTGGTTCCAAATTCTTATTATAAATACATTGTGATGAACGTGCTTTTATATACTCATGTTGGCATCTCTGATTAGTCTCATAGGTTAAATTTTGAGAAGGGGAATAGATAAATCAAGAGGTTTTGAGAATCTTTTTGGGGGGCCAGCAGTTGGTGTAATGGCTATGTTGCTGGACTCCCATGTAGTCGACCGTGATTCGAGTCCCGAACTCGGTGGCTTACACTCACGCCAGGCGCGTGTGCATGCGTGCCCAAGATCCCAAGAGGAGAATGGAGGAGAAGGGATTGTAGTGTGGCCATGCCCCTTGGGGGGTGATTTGTCGCTTTCTGTCTCTCTCTGTCTTTCTGGAGAGCGCAAAAAAAAACCCCCCCAAAAAAAAAAAAAAAAAAAAAAGAAGAGAGTCTTTTTGGTATTTGTTCCCAATAACATCCCATTTTTGTACAAATTTACACGCTAATCAACAGTATCAGAGTTACATTCCTATCTTGCCCCATAATTGTCGCTAAGTTAAAAGTTGGCTTATTTGAACGCTACAATGATCGATTGTTTCATTTGCATATATTTGCATTTCATGAGGTAACACCTTTTTAATATTGTAAAATATTAAATAGTAAAACTAAATTTTTAGTTTTACTCTCTCCTTGTGTGTTGCCTGTTCATGGCCATGCCCACTTTTCTGTTTGTTTTTTCCTGATTTGTGTGAACTTCGTGTGTAATGAATGTCTCTGTCTATGCTTATCACATTTGTGAAAAAGTTGTTTCCCCCCACACTGTTTTTAACTTCTGCATGTGGTACTTTTCTGTCATAATACTTCAGATATTTTACATAGTTAAATATATCAGTGGTTCCTGTGTGATTTCTTCCACAGTATTTATATTTAGATATAATGGTTCATATTATCCTTAAAGACACTTTACAGACTTTTTCAATTTGTAGTGTTAACAGAATTAAGTTTTTGCTCATACGGCCAGTGTTTTTTTTTTTGGAGAGGTTTTCACTACAGGGCGCATGCGCTCGCCAGACAGACAGAGAGAGACATAGAGACAGAAAGCGAGACATCACCCCCCAGAGGGGATGGTCACACCGCAATCCCTTCTCCTCCATTCTCCTCTCGGGATCTTGGGCACTCACGCACACGCGCCCGGCGTGAGTTTTAAGCCACCGGGTCCGGGACGCAAACCGCGGTTGACTACGTGGGAGTCCAGCAACATAGCCATTAAGCTAACTGCTGGTTCCCATACGGCCAGTGTTTTTAATATTATCACATAATCCTTTCCTTCTCCCTGATGTTAAAATGTCACCCTTACCATATTTTATACTTTCTAGAGCTGGGGTTCTCAGCCTCCAATGGACAATGGAATCAGTCACCTGGGAAACTTTAAAAGCTACCGGTGCTTGGACCTCACCCCAGAGGTCCCGCGTGAGTCGTTAGAGGGTGCAGCCTGGGTACAGGGGACGGGATGCCAGAGCTCCTCCGGGGCCTCTCACCTGCAGCCAAGGTCAGTAACTGCCGCTTAAAGGTGAAGGGCCTGGTTCTCACCGAGGCACAAGCATCCGAATCACGGAGGGCGGGCTGAGTGACTCTGCCCCACCCTGGAGATTCTTATTCATTCCTCTGGGCTGGGGGGCCTTGGGGTATAGATTTTTTAAATCCTGACAAGTGATTCTCAGTACCTCTCTGGCAGAGGCCACTGCAGCTGATCCGTTCCTTCTCATTTATCTGGTTATCCTTGGGATGTACCACCTGGGGTTGATAACTGTGGTTTTATTACGAGTTCTAATACCTGACAAGGCCAGTACCCCTTTCCAATTCTTGAAAAGCTCTTGTGTTTGCCTTTTTATGCTTCTACATAGCAGTTCTCAAACCGTCTTCTGGGGAACTTGGCAAAAATACAAGGTGCAAGGGCCCAAGTCCCATCTGAACATCTATTTCTTCTTCCTCTTTTTTATTTATTTATTTATTTATGCCGAAGAGACAAAAAGAAAAAAATCACTGCCCCCCAACCCCAAGCTCCACACTCCAAAAGATGGCTACTCTCCAATCCATTCTCCTCTTGGGATGTTGGGCATGCGTGCATACGTACCCTGCATGAGTTTCAAGCTGACAGGTCCAGGTCTCGAACTGAGGTCGACGTCATGGGAATCCAGCAACATAAGCATTACACCATCTGCTGGTCCCTCTATTTTCTTTATTAGTGCTCCAAGTGGCTCAAAAACACACCAAAATCTGTGAATCATTGCTCTAGAATCTAGATTAGCCTCTTACTAAATTTTTAAAAAATTATTATAAAATAAAGAACCTTATGGGACCAGCAGTTGGCATAATGGCTATGTTGCTGGACTCCCAAGTGGTCGGCAGTGGGTCGAGGCCC